ATAAAAATCGTTAGATTACTCTAAAGCAAAATGAGGGAAAATCTGTGTCAATTACAGACATTCTGTTCACGTGACCAGCTGTCATCCTCCAGACACACGTAGGAGCTGACTGATTTAAATACATCTTAACATTCATGAGGTACTTTACACTGACTGTTTATGGTTGAATGCGGGCGTGTAGAGGGCAGAACCTGAGGCGGGACCTCGTGTGCAAACTCTGACGTACGGCTGTGATTTATAAAGGAAAGATGCGCAGAAGCGTGCGTACGCACGGTTTTATAAATATGATTTTTTTTTTTGCGTAATGCCATTTCCGCCTTTTGGCCGTACATTCACTTTTAGTATGGTTTCCACACAATCCTTTATAAATCTGACACCAGAGCTTGTTGTAGGTATCTCAACAACAGTCTATAGGACTGCCCTACAGGCCTGGATCAGACGTCAACACTCGATCCACAGGAGGGAGCTGATAGACTGTAGACAGGCACGGGAACTGATTAATGGCCCAAATCTTAGGTTTAGGAAAGCTCTCATCACCCTGACAAGAAAAACTCTAAGTACACTGGTTGGAGTCCTAACTGGGCATAACTTGTTGAACCACCACAAAATAGTGGGACTCTATGACAATGGTCTGTGTGGTGCCTGTGGAATTGAATTAGAGACCTCTTTGRACTACTTAGACCACTGCCTGGCTCTGAGTGGTCAAAGGAAAATAATTATTGAAGAACCTTTTATGGATCCTGAGAAGCTCAGAACACTGAATGTTTCTAACCTGGTGTCCTTCTTCCGAGGGACACGAAGGTTTGAATAAAGACCAGTGTRTTTTCYGGGAGAACAATGGGCCCACTAATGAGGCCCCCTCTCATATGGGTTCTTTTTCCATCCACTGACTACAACTACTCACATACCAACTAACTACCCACTTAACTACCCATACCACCTAATTACGCAACTAACAACCTGATTAACTGCCCCTAACATCTAATCCCCGCAACTAACAACCCACATTCCACCTAACTAGCCAAATAACATAATTATCTGACTAACTACCCACCTACATCCCAACTAACTAACCACCGAATTAACTATTATTTTTAATTCCATTTTAACTTGAAGCCCTACTTTATCCAAATAGATTTTTTGGTGAAATTGTTAAAGGAAAAGATATAATTTGTACTACAAAAATGAAAGAAAATAAACTATGTTTTAAAACGATTGTTCTGGGGTTGACGTTTGTCATGTAAAAAAAAAAGAAAACACTATATTTTTTGATTAAGTGTATGAAGACGTTTTGTTTCATCAATAAATCACAACAATCTTTGACACAAACTATTCACTGAGTTCAGTCACACATTATATTTATTTATTTATTTTTCTTCTTAATGGTGTTTTGATAATGACATTAGCATTGTTGTCACCTGAAAACAAAGTTTGGAATGGATCATAGTTTCTGTTTACGTGTTTTGCTTTTGATTTACTTCCTGCTCGTGTTCTGCTCTTTTGTGGAACCTATTCATTTATTCACATCAATTAGTGTGATTTGCATTCTATATGAATGCATGGTTCCTGTCTTATCTGTTCTTGTCAAATGTTCCTTTGCACCTTCAGGCCAGAGTATTAAGGCTACAGGGAATGCATTATTTAGCAGAAAGTCCTCAGACAGACAGAAAATGGATCATGTGTTTTGTGCAAAATGCTTAGAGATTAACTTACGCATGACTGGTGCTCCACTTCTTTATTTTTACTTTAACAAATTAAATTGCAAACAGATGGTCCAAATATTAACTGCAGGGAGTCTCTCATCCCCAGATGTAAAGGAAGAGTTGAGAAATAGAGAAAAAGAGTGGGGGGATCCTGATGGGTTTAGAACGTGATTGTGTCGGTGCAAATAAAAATTACTGACAATGTGCTGTGAAAAGATTATAAAGGCAGTCCAGCGAAAAGGCTTCTTGTAAATGAATTTAGGTTTGTTTGTTTTTTTTTAATTAGAACTCTAGCATTTCTTAAGAGAACTAAATTTCATTCTCTGCCTTTCTGGCTTTTAGATTGAGAAATGTTGATCCTACCTGAAAAATAACATTAAGTGCAATCCCATGCAATAATGTAAGCAGTCACGCTGTGTATATA